CGACTACACGCGCTACACCACGGTCTTCCCCTTGCAGCGCAAGGGGGATGTCCCTGATGTTTTTGATCCCCTGGATCCGCGCTACTCGTCTCCAGCTCCGCGAGCGGTTCCAGTCGGACTTTCCTGTCCTGCGTCTGCACTCTGACCGAGGTGGTGAGTTCTCCTCAGACCTCTTGGCAGCCTTCTGTGCGGAGCACGGCATCCGCCAGACATTCACGCTTCCGGCCTCTCCGCAGCAGAATGGGGTTGCTGAGCGCCGCATTGGCTTAGTCATTGAGGTCGCTCGTACCTCCATGATCCATGCGGCTGCCCCCCATTTTCTGTGGCCGTTTGCGGTCCGGTACGCCGCGCATCAGCTCAACCTTTGGCCCCGTGTCTCCTTGCCGGAGACCTCGCCCACACTGCTGTGGACGGGGAAGGTTGGCGACGCGTCGCGTTTCCGGGTCTGGGGTGCTCGTGCCTTTGTCCGCGATACCACCGCGGACAAGCTCTCCCCTCGCGCCATTCCTTGCGTCTTCCTTGGCTTTGTCCCTGACGCGTCTAGCTGGCAGTTCTACGACCCCGCCTCGCGCCGTGTCTTTGCGTCTCAGGATGTCACCTTTGATGAGTCCGTCCCCTTTTACCGCCTCTTCCCCTACCGCACTGCTCCTCGCCCCCCCCCGCCGCTCTTTCTCACCCCAGGTCCTCCCCAGGTAGACCCCCTCCCCGCGCCAGGTCCTGCTCCTTCAGGTGTCTCTCAGATAGACCCCCCTGCGCCTGCGCCTGTTGAGGTCACTGGTGACTCCGGTCCTGCTGCGAGTGGTGCTGTCCCTGGGGTTGCGGAGCTTGGGGGTGCTGAGTCTGGGGGCGCTGAGCGTGTGGAGCCTGGAGGTGCTGAGCCTGCGCGTGAGGAGCCTGGAGGTGCTGCATCTCGGGGTACTGCGTCTGGAGGTGCTGCGTCTGGGGGTGCTGAGCCTGTGTGTGCGGAGCCTGGGGGTGCTGAGTCTGGGGGTGAGTCGCCTGAGGGTTCTGAGACTGCTGTTACGCGGTCTCCTTGGAGTAGCCGTCTTCGTCCGCGTGTGCCCCTCACCTCCCAGCAGCTGCATGACTGGTACGGTCGCCGTCAGCCTCCCACTTCTGCACCTCAGGGCTCTCCTGCTGGAGGTTCTTCTGCTGGTGTCGCTGGTCCCGGAGGTGCTCGTACTGGGGGTACTGGAGCTGCTGGAGGTGCTGGAGCTGCTGGAGGTGCTGGAGCTGCTGGAGGTGCTGGAGCTGCTGGAAGGGCTGGTGCTGCTCGTGCTGGTGGCACTGCTCAGCCGCGCCTGTTCTTCACTCCGCCGTCTCCGTCGTCTCAGTCACCACCTGACTCTGCACTTCGCCAGGTTCTCGGTCTTCCCTCGTCTACTGGTCTTCCGTTACAGCCTGGCTCACCGCTGCCTGCTCCTTCTCCGTACACAGAGCAGCCTGGTGGCCTTGCAGAGCGTCGTGAGCCTGCGTCGCGTCCTGTCTCCCCTGTCAGTTCCAGTCGTCGTGTTCCTAGTCAGAGCCAGCCGGCTGTCTCCGGCCCTCCCCTTGTATTTCGTCGTCCTTCCTCTCCTTCGCCGCGTGTTCCTCTGCCGCCTCCCCCTGCGTCCTCTCTGCTTGTCGTTGCTGACCCTGCGTCTGACCGGTTTCGTGCTGAGCACTCTACTGTCACGCGTCTGCTTGCCACTGTTGTCACTGACCCGTCGTTTGAGTCTGCTGCTGCGTCTGCCTTAGTCACTGAGCTTGTTGCCTTTGCTGCTCACTGTCGTCTCGACTACACCGCCAGTCTTGTTGCTGAGTCTGCGTCTGTCTGTCCTCCGACCGTCGGGGGTGAGTGTGCTCTTAGCACGGACGTCCTTGAGGACAGGCAGGAGGACCTTGAGTGTCTTGCAGCCGCTGCGCCTCATCTCGTATCCATGCTGCTTGCCCCTGAGGGAGACCTGGATGCACCAGACATCCCTACCCCGCGCTCGTACGCTGAGGCGATAGCGGGTGAGTACTCCTCTCAGTGGCAGACAGCCATGGACGCAGAGATGGCATCCTGGAAGTCCACAGGCACCTACGTCGATGAGGTTCCCCCTCCTGGGGCGAACATTGTCAGTGGCATGTGGATTTTCAGGGTGAAGCGGCCGCCAGGTTCTCCGCCTGTCTTCAAGGCTCGTTACGTGGCTCGAGGCTTCAGTCAGCGAGAGGGGGTTGACTTCTTCCATACCTTCTCCCCCACCCCGAAGATGACCACTCTTCGGTTGCTGCTGCACGTTGCCGCTCAGCGTGACTACGAGCTTCACTCTCTTGACTTCAGCACAGCTTTCTTACAGGGCAACCTGCACGAGGAGATCTGGCTGCGCCGCCCTCCTGGCTTCACTGGGTCGTTCCCTCCTGGTACCCAGTGGAGCCTCCGGCGGCCGGTCTACGGTCTCCGCCAGGCTCCACGTGAGTGGCACGACACACTGAGGACGACACTTGCGGCTCTTGGGTTTGCTCCGTCAACTGCTGACCCGTCGCTGTTTTTGCGCACCGACACTTCTCTGCCGCCGTTCTACGTTCTCGTGTACGTCGACGACTTGGTCTTTGCCACTGCTGACATTGAGGCTCTCGCCCTGGTGAAGTCGGAGCTGCAGAAGAGACACACGTGCACAGACCTGGGTGAACTGCGCAGCTACCTTGGCTTGCAGATCACCCGGGACAGAGCACGCCGCACCATCACACTGACTCAGTCACACATGGTGCAGCAGGTCCTTCAGCACTTCGGTTTCACCTGGTCCTCAGCACAGGCCACTCCTTTGGCTACAGGTCACTCGCTCTCAGCTCCACCTTCGTACGAGTCCGTAGAGCCGAGTGGTCCTTACCCAGAGTTAGTGGGCTGTCTCATGTACCTGATGACTTGCACTCGTCCTGACCTTGCGTACCCTCTTGGCCTTCTGGCTCGCTACGTGGCTCCTGGTCGGCACCGAAAGGTGCACATGGATGCTGCCAAGAGGGTACTACGCTACTTGTGCAGTACATCGGGCATGGGGCTCGTGCTTGGAGGACGGGGTGACGTTGTCCTCACTGGTCACTCGGACGCCTCTTGGATTGACGACCAGGCTACGCAGCGGTCGTCACAGGGTTACACCTTCAGCCTTGGTTCTGGTTCAGTTTCCTGGCGCTCTACACGTTCGTCTTCAGTTCTCGGCTAAAGCTGTGAGGCAGAGATCTACGCCACAGCCATGGCTGCACAGGAGCTGCGCTGGCTCTTCTACCTGCTGACCGACTTGGGAGAGCGGCCTCGTTCTCCTCCAGTTCTGTACGTCGACAACAAGGCCGCCATTGCCTTGTGTCAGGAGCACAGACTGGAGCACAGAACAAAGCACATCGCTCTCCGTTACTTTCTTGCTCGAGAGCTACAGCAGCGTGGCCATCTTCGTCTTACCTACGTGGCCACTCGGGCCAACACTGCTGATGTATTCACCAAGGCGCTTCCGCCTGGTGATCATCAGCGTTTCTGCACTTTGTTAGGCCTTGTGCCCACGCTTCCTCACTTGCTGTAGGCTTTGTTTGTACCATGATTTATATGTATTCCTGCATGCTTGTTCTTGTAGGTAGATATCACTGTACTGTTGTTGTTACATATATATCTCTGCATGTGAACTGGCCTTGTGGCCTTCTTGCTTGTGCTCAGACTGCGTGGTGACGTTGTGATCCACCCTGAGCTTGCTTTGCACTTCCTGCCTGGCCTTGTGACCCTCTGTTCTCCCCCACTTTGCCTATGGGGGTGTGTCAAACATATGTGTATATGTTGTTGTTTAGATAGGCTTTAGTGGGGTTCTCACTGTGGGGTACAACCCCTTAGGTTTCATTCTTGTACCAAAACCTCTCGACATTGCAAGACAACTTTTGCGTAGGATTCTAACAAGTAGTACCAGGAGATCCCGTAGACAAGCTTCTTTCCTTGTGTGTTGCCATGTCTTTTTTTGTGTGAGTTGTAGAAGCTGAGGGTAGTTGATTTTTTATTTGCTATCTCTCATACGGTACCATGTTGGGCTGAGAAAAGCCCTTAAGATCTTTCCAAAGACTAAGCTCAGGGTAATAATGTATTAGCGGAAGCGTCTTAATGAGACTGGTTGAACCACCTTGTACTGGTATGTGAGAACAAGATAAGTTGATTATAACGTAGAGATACCGTACAAGGCTTTTACCGTATATGATTACAAGGAATATGAAGGGTCTCTTGCTAACTGCAATTGTAACTGCTAACGTGATTCAATACAGCTACGACTCGGGTAACTGCTCAATGGCGAGTAAGTTATTTGTCCTTGCTGTCGTGCTGCTACGTCGAGTCAAAGGTTGCTGACCTTTGACCTTCGCTTCAACTTCTTGCTGTTGTCGCTTTTGTCAACCGCTTCGCTGTAACTTGGTTGACTCGGTGTTGCTTCGCTGTGGATCTGCTTCGTTCTTGTTTTTGTGCTCGACACATCAGAAGCGTGAACTACATGTTTCCAACAGTAGTCGCTAGGAGGCAAGCTGGAGCTTAGGAAAGATCTACACACAAACAGTACCGGTATTCTTTACACATATTTAAGCAGAGTTACAACTATTGATACTGAACACACATACAGGTACATACAGCCCACTGAAAAATCACTAACAAGCAACCCTAAGGCAAGTTCGATACTCTGATGGAAAAAATGCGAACAGGCTGGTTCTAAGCTGGGTCTCTGTTGACTGGAGGGGAGAATCAGATTCAGGTGAAACACTGGGTGTACCGTAGTGAACAACACAGGTGCAACCAAGTTAGAACAACGCCGTAGTACACATCACAGAGCGGATTGGTCCAGTCGTGTTCATGTCCCTGTTGAGTGGTGAAAACAAGGGGATGAATCATGTCAAGGATTCAAGGAGGATTCAAACGTGTTAGCTGACTATTGAAGCAGCAGCGGAAGCTGAAAAGCTGATGCAGGCGTTTTGGCTCAAAGCAGGCAGGATGACAGAGAAGGAGCAATGAATGAACCACTTACAGCAGAGCGGATGCAGAAAAAGGTCTGGGCAGCAATGCGCTTTCATTGAGATAAACAACGCGGCCGTCACAGTTGTCGTCGCGGTACAGCGTGGCATTCTGACAAGGCAGAGAGTCTATGGAGTTCCAGACAGCATATATCGTGGTGAACTTCCCTGCCACTGCTTCAGGGTACTGAGTGCACCCATCCAGGTTCCAGCGCAGGGTGTAGGGCTTGGAAGCGTTGTCCTTGGCGGTTCGATTCGCGATGAGCGTGTAGCTGGTAGACGAGACTGTGGACTCTCCACCTGAAGAAAAAGCAGCGTGAGGAAGGAGTCAGTGGAGAAACATTGCTTGCATTCATGCACGAGAGGAGAGAGCAGGGCGAATGAGGAGAGGAGAGAGCAGGTCGAATGAGGAGAGGAGAGAGCAGGGCGAATGAGGAGAGGAGAGAGCAGGGCGAATGAGGAGAGGAGAGAGCAGGGCGAATGAGGAGAGGAGAGAGCAGGGCGAATGAGGAGAGGAGAGAGCAGGGCGAATGAGGAGAGGAGAGAGCAGGGCGAATGAGGAGAGGAGAGAGCAGGGCGAATGAGGAGAGGAGAGAGCAGAGCGATTGGGGAGAGGAGAGAGTAGCAGGAGTGGGGAGAGGAGAGAGTAGCAGGAGTGGGGAGAGGAGAGAGTAGCAGGAGTGGGGAGAGGAGAGAGTAGCAGGAGTGGGGAGAGGAGAGAGTAGCAGGAGTGGGGAGAGGAGAGAGTAGCAGGAGTGGGGAGAGGAGAGAGTAGCAGGAGTGGGGAGAGGAGAGAGTAGCAGGAGTGGGGAGAGGAGAGAGTAGCAGGAGTGGGGAGAGGAGAGAGTAGCAGGAGTGGGGAGAGGAGAGAGTAGCAGGAGTGGGGAGAGGAGAGAGTAGCAGGAGTGGGGAGAGGAGAGAGTAGCAGGAGTGGGGAGAGGAGAGAGTAGCAGGAGTGGGGAGAGGAGACAGTAGCAGGAGTGGGGAGAGGAGACAGTAGCAGGAGTGGGGAGAGGAGAGAGTAGCAGGAGTGGGGAGAGGAGAGAGTAGCAGGAGTGGGGAGAGGAGAGAGTAGCAGGAGTGGGGAGAGGAGAGAGTAGCAGGAGTGGGGGGAGGAGAGAGTAGCAGGAGTGGGGAGAGGAGAGAGTAGCAGGAGTGGGGAGAGGAGAGAGTAGCAGGAGTGGGGAGAGGAGAGAGTAGCAGGAGTGGGGAGAGGAGAGAGTAGCAGGAGTGGGGAGAGGAGAGAGTAGCAGGAGTGGGGAGAGGAGAGAGTAGCAGGAGTGGGGAGAGGAGAGAGTAGCAGGAGTGGGGAGAGGAGAGAGTAGCAGGAGTGGAGAGAGGAGACAGTAGCGGGAGTAGGGAGAGGAGAGAGTAGGGCGAGTGAGGAGAGGAGACATCAGGGCGAGTGGGGAGAGAGTGAAAATCTCACCCTCAACACATTCGGTGTCAGTCATCCCGTAGCCTTCAGGGCACACGCAGTAAGGCGCCAGCACTGAACTGTCAGACTCTGCTGGTGTGGTCTCGCAGGAGGCCCCGGTGGGGCAGGCGCCACAGGGCGAGTCTGAGGGGTGGGGATGGGTGCAGTGCGGTATGTGAGTGCAATGCAAGTGGGGGTTGTAGCTCCAGAGGGACAGGCAGCACAAGTGAGGATACGGGAAGCAGCATGCAAGGGAAAGGCAAGGGTGAGGGAGAGGCAAGGCGGAAGGGAAAGACAAGGCGGAAGGAAAGGCAAGGAAGAGGGAGAGGCAAGGCGGACTGAAAGGCAAGGCTGAAGGAAAGGCAAGGAAGAGGGAGAGGCAAGGCGGAAGGAAAGGCAAGGCGGAAGGAAAGGCAAGGAAGAGGGGGTGGCAAGGAAGAGGGGGTGGACAGCCATGCTCACTCCACTGGCAGAAGCGACATGCTCACTCCACTGGCAGAAGCGACATGCTCACTCCACTGGCAGAAGCGACATGCTCACTCCACTGGCAGAAGCGACATGCTCACTCCACTGGCAGAAGCGACATGCTCACTCCACTGGCAGAAGCGACATGCTCACTCCACTGGCAGAAGCGACATGCTCACTCCACTGGCAGAAGCGACATGCTCACTCACCCCACTTGCAGAAATAATCTCCATTTGGATCCACCCCACAGGAGCCATCAGACCCACAGCCGAACGCCAAACAGGCCGGACTTCCTGCACGCAGCACAGAGGCAAGGCGGGTTCGTGCATGGAATGGCTCAAGGAGGCTTTTAATACGACTTTTGAGACGCCTCAAAAGTAGCCATCTGGCTCACAGCCCAACGCCTCACAGGCAGCACAGAGGAAAGGCGGTCGTCAGGGTCAAGTCGTTGTGAGCCGTCAGGGTCAAGTCGTTGTGAGCCGTCAGGGTCAAGTCGTTGTGAGCCGTCAGGGTCAAGTCGTTGTGAGCCGTCAGGGTCAAGTCGTTGTGAGCCGTCAGGGTCAAGTCGTTGTGAGCCGTCAGGGTCAAGTCGTTTTGCGCCTTCATTCCTGGCGCTTCAAAATTCGCGCAGAACGACGCCCCTTTCTTTCGCACGTTCCTCACCTTTGGGAAGTGGTGTTGGTGCTCCTGCCACCCCACCTCCCACCCCACCTCCTCCCACTCCAGAAGATGCCGCCAGCGATCTACGGTGCAGATTCCTTATCACCGTGCCGTCGCCATGCCCTGCCTTCGTCTGAGCCTCTGCAAGGGGCAGGAGAGAGGGGTGTGTGCAGAGAAGGGAACATGGGACGGCGAGGGGGGACGCGACGTGAAGAGGAGACGTGGGAGATAGATGAGAAGGTAATGAGGGTCAAAGAGGCGGGAGAAGTGAGAATAGAGACTGACCGGCGATGAGGGTAAGGGCGAGGAGCAGCAGGCCGGCAGCAGTCAGTCCGACAGAAGAGACCATGGACCCCATGGTGGTAGAGCGGATGAAACGGCGGAAGAGATGGCGGAAGAGACGGCGGAAGAGATGGCGGAAGAGACGGCGGAAGACGCGGCGGAAGAGGCGCGCTGCTGGAAACAGCGGAGCGTTTGTGCTGTGGTGTGCGAGTCACGGTGAAGAGTGCCGAGTGAAGGCGAGTTGCCCTTTCGGAGTCGCTAGGCGGATGGTTGAATGAAGGCGAATCCAAGCTAAGGAGAGTCCAGCCCCTTGCGAGAATAAGAGAATCGAAACGAGAATGGTGGAGTGGCAGGAAAGGAAGAATCGGCTCGCTTTTTGACTCGGGCCGTGCCGCGTCGTGGTGGCGGATTGTAGGAGCGAGGAGATGCGAGCTTGGCTGGGGTGAGTTCCTGGAGCGAGTTACTCTGAATCAGAGGAACGCGATCCATGCGACGGGATGCGTGCGACGAGATGCATGCGACAGGTCGCTTGGCAGGTCGTCCATACATTATGTGCATCGTGCTTGACTCGCGTGAGTTGCGGGAACGAAAGAAGGACGCGGTAGATTATCTTTCGCGAACCAATGGCGCTAAGTCAAGGGCTTTTTCTGCTTGCAGCTACCAATCAGGTTCAACCATGAGGATGATGCGACTAGGCGAGCCTCTCGTGGAACCAACAGAAAATGCCCGATGATAATGCAAGAGGACTATAATGCGATTTTATTATCAGTTTGACGTCTGCCTGATTCGAGTGGTGTTCGACTGGCTCGCACGGCCAAACTGAATTGTGCTCGTAGGCCGTGTTTCCAAAAAACCGACATTGCAGAATCAGCTGGTTCAGGGAGAGGAGAAAATGGGCTAAGTGGAAATGTCCGAATGGGTGCAAGGCTCAAGTGCAAATGCGAAAGCATGGTTGGTGGTCGTGAGGTTTGCGAGACTCGTTGGAAGCTCAGCTTCGCGCCAAAATGTGACCGGACCACCTTCCTGGGAAAGGACGGAAACCTGCGTGTCCGCAGATACAGAATGCGCCTGATAAGTCCAGGAGCAAATCAAAGCGTTCTGGGTTGGCTGTAAGAAAGAAAAAAGAGTTTTTATACGAATAGTCATTATCAAGGGCGAGCTATGACAAATGGTCAATCGGTTATCACGAACGGCCATTGAAACTGGCGAATCTATCACGGATAATCACTGAATATCACGGATGGTCACTCGTTGCCCCGCATTTCTATCACGAATGGTCACTCGATGAAACCCTCAAGGAAAGCTGAAACCCCCTGAGCCCAGGGTTGTCGCTAGCAGAAATTTTTGGTCTGTTTGTCCTATATTTGGAGGCTATTTTTTTATTTAATCTGATGATTCAGAAATTAGCACTTAGTGAAATCTGTTCTTTCAGAAATGCTTTTCCTCTGTATCTGATCCATCAGATACGTTTTCCATGTTCCTCTGATTCATCAGGAACACTTTCCGGTTTCGTCTGTTACCGGATTTTTCTACCTTTGGGCGTGATTCACGCGTGAACAAGGCGTGGTGTGGGTGTTTCCCCTTGAATACCGGAATGCATGCATCATACATTTCGCGGCCCGTGCTCCCACGTGTATCTTTTGCCACCACATCAACAAAATGCTGCTGCAACAGGCAAACAGTCAGGTTCTATGCTGACCTCACGTGATGTCTGCGTCACGACTTGCCCATGCAGGACCGTTTCTGTCGTACGTGGCCTGTCACAAGTGAGGGATTGGTTAGTTTTGTACAACATGTCAAACATTAATCACATAGCCTGTTTAGGCTGTAGTGGGGTAGACAATATGGGGTACAGTTTGTTAGGGTTTCCTATTTGTACCCAACTCATTTCCTAGTCATTCATTCCTCAATTCTTTCACATGGTATAGAGCTAGTTCGATTTTTTTTCCAAAGGGCCCACCACTAAAAAAAAAAAAAAAAAAAAAAAAAAATCTACCTGCCCGACGCGCGCGTCGCGCCTGCCCTTCGAGGCCCCTTCGCGGCCCGTAGTGGCCCCCTTTCACGGCCCGTAGAGGCCCCCTTTGCGGCCCGTAGCGGCCCCTTCACGGCCCGTAGAGCCCCCCCCCCCCCCCCCCCCGTAACGGCCCGTAGCGGCCCCTGCGCCTGCCCTTAGAGCCAGCGCCGGCACCCAAAGCCGCCGCGTCGCGGCCCGGCCCGGCGCCCCGTCGCCTGGTGCCCCGTCGTCCCGGCCCGGCCCTCCACGGCCCCCGTCGCGGCCCCCCCTCGTCGCCCCCCCCCCCCCCCCCCGTCACGGCCCCCTGTCGCGACCCCCCGTTGCGGCCACCTGTCGCGGCCCCCCGTCGCGGGCCCCTCGTCTCGGCCCTGCCCCGTCGCCCAGCGCCGCCCCTGTCCCGGACCTGTCGTGGCCCTGCCCCGACCCTGTCGCGGCCCTGTCGCGGCCCTGCTGCGACCTAGCCCTGGCCCTCCTCCGGCCCTGTCGCGGCCCTGTTCCGGCCCTGCCCCGGCCCTCCCCCGGCCCTGTCGCAGCCCTGCCCCGACCTGTCGCGGCCCTGCGCCGGCCCTGTTGCGGCCCTGTCGCAGCTCTGCCCCGGCCCTGCCCCGGCCCTGTTGCAGCCCTGCCCCGGCCCTCGCCCCGGCCCTGTCCCGGCCCTGCCCCGGCCCTGCCCCGACTCTGCCCCGGCCCTGCTCCTGCACTGCCGCGGCCCGGCCCCGGCCCTGCCCCGGACCTGTCGCGGCCTGGCCCCGGCCCTGCCCCGGACCTGTCGCAACCCTGCCCCGACCCTCCCCCGGCCCTGCCCCGGCCTAGCCCCTGGTAAGAGCATCGCTGGGCCGAGTCGCGCTGCCGAGCCGCACCGCTCTGCCGAGCCGCCCTGCCGAGCCGCCCTGCCGAGCCGCCCTGCCGAGCCGCGCTGCCCTGCCTAGCCGCGTCGCTTAGCCGAGTTGCACTGCTGCTGCTGCTAGCCTGCTGCTGCTCCTGTCATGGCTAGTCCTAGTGTTCTTACCTTTGATGCTGAGGGTCGAGCGGTTGACTTCGATGTCTGGCTAGATGATCTGCAGCTTTTCCTACAGTGCGATAGCAAGGATGGTCTCTCATTGTTCGATCTCACGTCTGGCGCCTCTACTGCCCCTGCTGCTGATGCTGACAGTATTGTTCGCTCGCAGTGGCTCACGCGCGATGCTGCTGCCCGCCTTGCTGTGCGTAGTCACCTACCGTCTACTGAGCGCGCGCACTTTAGTCAGTACAAGAGTGCTAAGACTCTGTACGACGCTGTAGTTGCACCCTACTCTTCCCCTGCCACTGCTGCGCTTAGCCGCCTCATGCTACCGTACCTGTTCCCTGACCTCGCCGCTTTTGCCACTATCACTGACCTCATTACGCACCTCCGCACTAGTGACACTCGCTACCGCGCTCCACTTCCTGCTGAGTTCTGCGCAAAGAACCCCCCCCCCATGTACATCACCCTCTACTACCTAGTCACCCGACTTCCTCACACTCTTCGCTCGGTCAGGGACCACTTCCTCTCTCTTTGCCCTACCACTCTCACCGTTGACCTCCTCGAGGAGCGCCTCCTTGCAGCAGAGACTAGTATTACCGCTGTAGGAGCCTCTCGTGGTGACCCCGTACCCCTTTCTTTGAGGGGTGCTCCCCCGTTCCTCTTTTGCCCTCCGTTGCCTCTGCTGCTGCTGTCGACCTTGTTGGCACCGAGGCGGTCAGCGCTGCGTCTGCTCCTAGTGAGAGGCGCCGCAACAGCAAGGGCAAGCGGGGCAAGGGCGCTGGAGGAGGTGGTGGGGGAGGCGGTAGTGGCGGTGGAGGCGGAGGAGGGGGTGGGGGTGGGGGTGGTGGCAGAGGTGGGGGCTTCGGTGGCAGCGGTGGAGGTGGAGGCGGCGGTGGCGGTGGCGGTTGGGGTGGAGGAGGCGGAGGCGGCGGCGGCGGAGGTGGAGCTGGTAGAGGCGGAGCTGTGCAGCGGGGACCCCATCACCAGTCACGCTCTCGTGAGACCCCGTCGCCCCAGCAGCTTCGTGAGTGGTACGCAGGGCGCCAGGGGTCTGGGGGTGCTGGTCCCTGTGCCTACGTCCTGCGCACAGGCGACCGCACTGGAGAGCAGTGTGGTGGCCAGCACGCCATCCAGCGCTGCTTCGGTCGCCTGACAGACGCCTGGCGTACCCAGTTCCCTGACGCCACTGAGATCCCTCGCTGGGGTGATCTGCTCAAGTCGGGTGTAGCTATCTTTGATCTTGACTTTGATGCTATTCTTGCTGCCATGTATGCTGTGTCTATTAGTGCTGAGGGTGACTGTTACGTGTGTGTTCCGCCTGACCCGGGCATTGAGGCTGCTGCTCTAGGTGCTCGTGAGTCTGCTGCTCCAGGTGCTAGTGAGTCTGCTGCTCTAGGTGCTGGTGAGTCTGCTCTCTCAGGTACCGCGTCGGCTCAGGTCTTGCACACCTTCACCCTCGACTCGGGTGCTTCCCGCTCCTTCTTTCGAGACCGCACCACCCTTACACCGCTCAGTCGGCCGGTTGCGGTCTCCCTGGCAGACCCCTCTGGGGGTCCTGTTCTTGCTCGCTACTCCACTGTCCTCCCGTGTCCGGCGGCCCCGTCCGGCTCCCTGTCTGGTCTCTACCTCCCCTCGTTCTCTACGAACTTGGTGAGTGGTGCTGACCTTCAGGATGCCGGGGTTGACCAGTTCACTCCTGCGAGTCAGCGAGTGACCCACTGCACGTGTGCTCAGACGGGCCGCCACTTGGCCACGTTTACCCGTCGACCGGGGTCGAGCCTGTACACACTGACCACAGAGTCTCCCCCGGTTGCTGCATCTGGTCAGGTAGCTGCGTCGAGTCAGGTGTTTGCTGCAGCGTCTCGGTCAGGTCCTGAGTCTGCCCCCTGCTCGTGTCGCCTCCTGTCCCACCAGACCCTCCTCTGGCACCACTGCCTTGGTCACCCCTCCCTGCCTCGTCTCCGAGGCATGGCCTCCCGTGTCCTTGTCTCTGGTCTCCCCCGGTCCCTCCCTCCCCTTCCCCCAGGGCCTGCCCCTACCTGCGTTCCCT